CGTGCCTCTAGCACAAACAATGTTTATGAAACTGAACACTATTTATGAAACTAAAACACTATTTATGAAACTAAATGCTATTTATGAAATTGAATGGTACTACACTATATATTGGTCAAATTTCATAAATAGTGCCTAGTTCTTGCTCATGTTTTATAAATAGTGCTTAGTTATATTGGATCCAGTTTCATAAATAGTGTATAGTAATTGGTACAGTTTCATAAATAGCGTCTCTTTCTTGGTCCAGTTTCATAAATAGTGCCTAGTTCATGATACACTTTCATATGTAGTGCTTAGTTCTTGGTCATGCTTCATAAATAGTGTCTAATTCTTGATCTAGTTTCATAAATAGTGTCTCTTTCTTGGTCCAATTTTTTTGTTCAGTTTTAGAAATAATCTTCTTCGGTTTCAATGCATCCCCTGAGCAACAAGATGGTGATGATGGTGGTGATGCCCATGCCCATGGCGTTCTTCATGAGATACCCAGTCGTTCCTCCCTTCTTTTTCACTTTCTCTTCATGAGATACCCAAATCAAAAAAGCCAAAATCAAGTTTCTAGCAGATCGACTAAACCTCGATCACAAAAGCCAAAATCACTAAAACCATAGCCAAAATCATCACAAAAGCCAAAATCACTAAAACCATAGCCAAAATCACAGTAGTGCTGGCACTACTGGAAGGGGAGGCTAGTAAGCTTGGCCATGATGCTTTTGTGACCCTTGGATCTTCTGACCTTCGAGGCTCAACATTGAGCCTTCATGGTATAGGGTAACCAAATCATAGATTAGCTGTCAAATCAAATATACATTCCATGTTGTACTGAAACAAATATACCCAAGAGCCTTCCTTGGATCTTCTGACCTTCGAAGCTCAGCATTGAGCTTTCCTGGTGTAGATTAGCCATGGCCGTGCGGTTGGCATCAAACATGTACGTAGTAGTGCTCAACAAGGCCTTGAAAAGTGCGTTTGGATTGCGCCGCACCTGATTTCCGCACCCGAGAGGAAACTCGGCTGTGAAATTTGTTAGAAGGGACTGCTGCAAAACGAAGTGATGGGATCCGAGGAGACGGAGACTGCTGCAAAACGAAGTGATGGGAGGAGACAGAGCGAGTTGACAACTGGGTTTGAGTTGCACGCGCTTTTTTTTTTCTTCTTTTTTGTCCTTATCATTTAAAAAAACTAGTGGATGATTTTGGTTAAAATTAAAAGTTTTGAAACTATTTTCATTAGTTTTTTTGCTTTTTTTTTGTTTCTTTCGATATTCGACATTTCAAACATGAACAGATATCATAAATGTGTTTAAGAGTGGAACGTTTTTCTATGTATTGCTAAAGCTCAGGATTCATACATATGTCCAAGAAGAGAAAGGTTAGAATTAAACCTGCTACAATCACTCGTACATTACCAAGAATGATAAAAGCATTTACAATCCTCATTAATAGAAACACTATAGTTTTGTTTTTTAATCGTCCAGGATTAATTAGGATATATAACTCACTATATTCAATCGCGTACGGTTGAATGAAAAAATTGGATGCTTATTTTCCTTTTTTGTTCAAGTGATGGTAGAAAATGGATTAGCTATAAATAAAACTAATTCCTCTAATTATCAGAATATGGAAGGATTTGGACAAGACTGCTCCATCATCTATCTTCACTTGAACAAAAAGTTACAAGTGCGCATCCAGTTCTTCATTTCACATTCACTGAATCTAATGATTTACCCAATTCACGCTAATTCTAGACAACAAATGAGGCTTAAAGGAAATTTTTTTTTTTTGGTCGAACGATAGGTTTTGTTAGATTAAATATTAGATTAGCCACCGATGGGTTCGAACTCATGCCATCATGCAAGGGCTCAACTTCTTTCCACTACTATAGTAAAATGCCACTTGCTTAAAGGAATTATACTCTTAATATTTTAGCCATGTTCTTCATTGCTGTCGTGAGCTATTCTGGATAGGCTTTGGGGGTGTTGACTGTTTGTGAGGAGTGTTGGATGTATTTGCTGGTATGCCCTTAATATTTTACACTCTAGTACATTATTACTCTAGGTTTCCACATTATTGACAAGAAACGCTCTAGTACATTATTATTAGTATTTTTATTATTACTACGAGCTATATTTTACACTAAAAGAATAAAAGAAAGTTTGAATTCAGAACATAGAGTGGTTGAAGAGAAACGCCATAACCATTAAAGCATCCACAGCAAGTACATTAATTCAAATCCAAAATCTCTTCTTTAACCATAAAATTAGTGAGTGTTAAGTGGACTTTGTAAATCCATGCACAAAAATATCAATTATGTGTATGGCCTTAGACAAACCGAGCGAATGAATGTAGGCTATATATAGAGTTTTCCAGCAGTAGTGGCCGAGCAAGCCCTCTTGTTGATTGGGAGGCAAAAGCCACACTTTGGCCTATTTATGTGGATACACCCTTAGTTTTCAGACCACCAAAGATTTATCATAATAAGCACTTGTGATATAATATCAGGTACTAAATAAAAATATATATAGAGTCACACCTGCATGGGACTTCCATGTGTGTCTCAAATCACTGTAAAATGTGTTAGATGCAAGCAAAAATTTCTCCAAAAACCTCCTTGAGAATTACACTAAATATTCGGAGACTCGGAGTTGATCATCCATAAGCGTGGAAACCTAGAGTATTAAACTAAGAGAAGGAATTCTCTGTGCGGACGCCTACATCGTCTCGTAATAAACTCACAACGAATGAGAACCTCATGCAAGGGTTTCGCTACCTAAATTCTGAGCTGTTGTGGAAGATTTCTTCCCTTTCAGATACATTATCGTAACATTAGTGGTTCGTGTGGTGGCCGATTTGAACGTTATCGTAATTGGAGTTGCATATGAAACAAGTAATGGTGATTGAGCTAGCATGTATGCAATATGCTGGCCAAAAAGAAAGCCAATACAAGTCTTGTCACTCTTTTATTGCCCCAATTATGTACTCGTTGTGTGTGTGTGCTGTTGGGATGGGGTTTTACACTTGCTTCAACCACTGGGGACTAGTACTACTGTGATGGTGCGTGATGTTTGTTGGATTGGCCAGACATATCCATATCAAGTTGAGTTGGATTCTATTGGAATACACCTAGAGAGAGAGAGGGTTTGAATTGCAGACATTTAAACTTGTCAGGGTCTAAAGTGAAAGAATAAATTAGTATTAAACTCGCCATTAGTAAAATTCGAACCTAGTTGGATTCTAATGCAATGATACTATGAAGATTTGAGTTAAGACACAGCAATGAGCCAAGTATAATTAGGTATCAAACTTGTTATGCATTGGAATTGAACTTGAGACCTTCCACAAACGTGCATGTGAAAAGGATACCACCGAACACGTGGTAGCAGTGAAATTAACAAGATTTGTGAGATATGCGTATAGTGACAAAATTGTCAGATTCACTTATCTTGCGATCCTTGACACCTACCTAACGACTTGAATAGCACACATACTACAAATATTGGAAAGCTTTCCAAATTGAAATTCATGCCCCTTTCAATGAGTGCCTAGGAACTAATGCATTGCACAAGACATGGAGATACGCATATCACTTTTCAATTCCTAGAATCAATGTTGCATGACCAGGATCGATAGAAGGTTTAGGATCTCGATCGGTACTTTATGGGCACGTTTGACACACAAAATCGATTTGGCTTGGACTAATTGAAGGGAATGGTTTGTTACGCAAGATCAATTTTGATAATAGACGAAAGCCAGCCGTTGAAGCTAAAAGCGATGCATCATCATCGTCGCTAGTTTTCCTTTCCTTGTGTCTCAAGTTACGGGTTTGGATTGGTTCTATTGAGGCCCGTCATTTTGATCCTCATCTATTTGGTTCAAGCTCAGATTGGAGTTACATGTGCATAACAGTTTGATCAATCAACCACCTCCTATAGTTTCTATTTTTCCGTTCTTTTTTCCTTTTTGTGATATAACATGTTCTGAACACTTTGTAATCAAATTATCTCCTTCAATCTTGGCAACTGCAAGATAATTCACAATCAAAGGCATTCGAGTATACAACAGATTCAAATCAATTGCATTTGGAGATCCCATTATTTGGTCAGTTTGAATATTAATAGGGGCTTCTTCCCCCATTGTGAAAATAGTAAATTTGATCTATCAAGTTAACGATAATTTCACTCATTTCGGGTAGCTTTGGTTTTGGGTTGGAAATCAGGTGATTTGCTATGGGCGGTGTTTGGGTCAATATTTGAACATTGGGCTTGAATGAGGGAAAGTCCAAAAATGCCAATTAAAAGGGGACTTGCCTGAAGCCTAGCATTGAGCCCAGAAGCAAGTTAAGGCCTTCTCAGCCAAGGGACACAAGCCACATGTCTATAATTGAAGTGACAAGTGATGGAGACTAAACTATGAGCCAAAGAACACTTTCTAGTGGCATTATAAGTTAGAAGTTGATGACTCACTACCCTCTAAGTGCTTTCGAGCAAGAGCAAAAGTTACAGCAGTCGGGCTAATTTGTCTATAAAAGGAAGAAAAGGCCCCAAAGACAAGGACACTCAACCAATCAAACAAACATACAAACTCTGCTTTCAAGCCAAATTTGCATCTAAAAGCTGAGATCAACCCAGATTCAGTCTTTTTTAGCGATAGTTCTCTGAAAAAGCAATATCTTACCTAGTATAAAAGCTCTGCTATCTCCCTCAGTGGTGTAGTATTGATTCCCTTGTGTAAACTTGTTTACCATCCATCCCTTTTTAGCATATAAACCCTGTAAATACAAAGAGAAGTGACTGCAAGAAGTTTAACCTTACCAGACAAGGTGAAATCTTGCTTCGAAGCTCTTTGTTTGTTTTCTAAATTAGTAGATCTATTGCTTAATGCATTCTCTAGCATATATTCAAGTCATTTCCACTTGTTTTTATATTGTAAGAAGTTCCATTTGCATCTGGATCTGGTTAGTTTAATGGATATGTTTTCATTAAAAGCAATCTAGGACCAAACACATGACTTAAGGGGCTCTGAACTCCCTCCATTCAAGCATACAAGATTATAAACTAAAAGTCCTTATTTACAAAGCAAGAAAAAGAACTTAATGTGGACTTAACCCATCTGACAATCCTTTGATAACAAGAAATCTGAGTAACTTGAGGCATAAGTAATCGACTTAAAACACACTTGTTCTACATGTGCTATATTGAGATACTAGTGGCATACCTAGCACTTGGTTAGTTTTGATTGCGAGCCTTAAGGCCTACACCTAAGGCCCCACAATGGCACCTTTCAGAACTAACTTCGTTCTCTTCTTGTAGCACATCAACAAACAAGAGCCCGACTACACATCCAAAGTGCCAATCCTTTGGGAAGCTGTACTGAGGTTCGAGGAGCCTTCTCCAGAGAAATCTTTGCCTGAACAGGCAGTACTAAGCGAACTATGCAATTGAGTATCTGCCACAACATGGAAAACCTTAGACACCCCATTCAATACCCAACTGATCATCGAAAACATTCTAAGGTTAATTACCGGGCAGAGTCGAGCTATTAGAAAAATATCGTAACTGTTGTCATTGACTTGCACCATAAACAATTTTGTGAGATCTCAAGACTCGATTAATCTCAATAACTCAATTCTTAAAACTATAATTGAGAGAAAACCTGACAATCTTTACCTTGATTGAAGTTCTACCAAAACAAGTCTCCATCTTCTGCGTCTTTAATATGGCACTCCGCCTCAGTCTGAGAGAGACATCTTACTGAAATACACAAGTGGAAACAGCCGTCACCTCCATCACCTGAACCAACATGTTGAACGCGCCATACAAAATATCACCACTATTTCCACACCATCCATTGAATAAATCTGCAGATTCAAATTTTTGAACTATTAGCCTTCTGAGTTTTGAGCACCTAGCTAAAGATTAGTCGGACCACATGACCCACAAAGAGTGTGAACTATAGCTAGTCAACTCTAGCGAGGATCTCAGAACCTCAATACAAAACCTCAAACAACAGTCGAAGGGAGTAACCACCAAACACTATTATAAACGCCAGACAAACGCATGCATGCTTTCCATCTTATTCCAGTATGTTACCAAAAATCTGCTTCCAATAATCCCACAACTCCTTACGAACAAGTTAAGTATTCATATACTTGCAGATGGTAAGAAAGCTCCAACATATTCCCCTACAACCCTACTATTGTATTTCCCCATCTCACAAACACTACAGCCTAGCGAAACATGCCCTTTTTGAATGGGGATTTGGTACCAATTGTGTCGAGAAAGGGATGAGCAGAAGCATGTCTTGAAAATCAAAAGCAAACTACTTCCCACATACCAAATAGAAGTCTTAATATCATTTATTAAAACTCTGTATATAAACTGTACAAAAACCATAAGGAAATTAAACATAAAAAAAAAGTTCAAGAACATAAACAAATCCAAACCCAAAACTAACCGCAATTCTCAGCTTGCCTATGTCGCAAGCCATAAACACAAAATCTGCCTCTTTCATTTCCAGTATCGCATCCACTTTCTGTTAGTGTCTATACCAATCTATGAAAATGTGGCATTGAATGCAATAACTTTCCAGAAACTTCACTTGAAAGATGCGTAACATGTACTTTACCCTCTCAACGGAGAACACGAAAAGAAAATCTACAACGAGTGATCTACTATATAATAAAGTGTTTAGCCCTCCCACTACCCAGTTCGGGAAGATCAGTAGTTAAATCTATCAGTTTCCAAAGCAAATACAAATACAACTACAGTCATTAATATAATAGAAAGTTCTCTTACAAATGCTGGAAGCGATACAAATCATATTTGTTCTTTGGCATCGTAAGACCAATATCAAATAGTAAAGACTTTGTAATGCAGCGATGGTGCACCCAAGATACCTTCGCTTGAGAAAAGCCAACAAAAAGTCAGATTATATGGAATTTGAAAAGCACAAGCGTTTCGTTTACAGTACGAAATTATCTGAAATTAAACTGTATAATATTACACTACTAAAAGAGTAAACTCAAATGCAACGAAAGCAATGCATCCAAGCATTAGGTTTACACGATCAACTACTTTAAAAATAATTTAGGAAAGAGTTATGGCAATTTCCTTCTCATCAAGTAAACTTGGTAATTCATATATGCAAAGAGAATTGTACAAATGCACAACAATAAGAATTTCGTAAAATTGCTAGCATCCTGCAACTACAGAGCATTACGCCAATACTCTTTTACGAAGCACGCAATCTTACAACTTGGAAACCGAGAGATGCATTGCATTCTAATCAACATGCATGGGTTCCGAGCCCCCAGCCGCATCTTCCATTCCATTTTTCTGCTCTTTCTCCTCAATTAAATTCCTCTGTTCTTCCTCTATGGTATTCCGCAACTCATCCACCTGCAAGAAGATAAAATACACCGGGAAATTACACCACTTTCTTAAAGCATTCTAATTCTACTGCTTAATGCACACAACATATCGAGAATTCAATATAGCTCACATACCACATGCAGGAGCAGAGCAAACTGCTTCTTCCTCAGCTCCAGCGTCCGCGAACTTGTGGTGTTCTCCGCATCCAATAACGCAATCTCCTTCTCCATATCTGATATGATCTTGAGCGTCTCGGACCTCCGCGGCTGGGTAGCAATCAATTTCCTGATCGACTCACACTCCTCCTTGTGCCTTCTTTCGATCTTACTCTCCTCGAGCTGCTTCTTCAGCATCTCAATGTCGGTCTTCGCCTGCACAATCTGCCGGTTAATCTCCTCCCTCAGCTCGTCGAGGTTGTGCTTCTCCCGGAGATTTGCATCCACGACGGCTTTGCTCTTTGGGAGCGGAATCTCGAACGTGTTGAGCTCCTGCAGGAAAGCCTTGGCGACCTTGTCGCAGTCGGAGAAGTTGTCATCGTTCTTGTCGAGCTCGACGAACAGGGACGTGAACTTCTTCTGGAGCTTCTTCAACGGCGGTTCGCCTCTCGTGGTGGTGGTTCGAGTGAGAAGTCTGTGTTTGATGATGAAGTCATCTTCGAGCAGCCCGAACGCGTAGTTCGGCGCCAAGCCAGCATCGGAACTGACCGGAGACTATGAGTCCGGCGCAAATTCGATTTAGAATTTGACAAACCCTAATCTAATTTCCAGAAAGAAAATCCCCGTTCACGTCGGAGGATTCAACTTCTGTTTGTGGAATCCAACGGCAGAGGAAGATGTTAGTTCTTTTTGCTCGAGGTTAATTGGACGGTCGGATGCGCTTCACGGTTAAACACTGCTACACCGGATCCAGGATGTTTATTTTGTCAACAGGGCTTTTATATTTGGGACAGAAACCAAATTTCTCACGAAAAAAATAGAAGAATTATTATTATTATTATTTTTAACAAACAATATCATCTATACTAAGGGAAATAATGTGTGCTTAGCCTCACAATAAACTAGTAATAATGCAATTCAAACTCGTATCTGACGATAATCAAATCTAAGACCTCTCACTTATAAGTGAAGAGGAATACCACTATACCATAGTACTAAGTGGCAAAAAATAGAAGAAATTAGTCCATCTCTAATCGAAAAGGCTAAATATAGTCTCGTCCAGAGTCATAACTGAAGAGGCTAAACATAGTCCCTCAATGATTTATTAGTTTTAATTTTATACTATTAATTTATTAGTTAATTTAATTAATCTATCGTTTGATGTTTTCAGATCTAACCATTGAATTTGAATCAATTATCGGAAATGAGGAGCTGGGCCGCAAAAAAAGGTTAAGAGGGGACTACATTTGGCTAACCTGGGAATATGATCCTTTCCAGATCCCTTCCAGTCGGATCCGGACAATCATTCAATCTTAGCCGTTCAAAAGAAAATCGAACGGTCATGAAAATGTTTTGCCGCCATTGGAATAGGAAGAAGCTACGATGGCAACAATGGCCACCGAATCCTCTGCATTGAATCCCCAGCAATAATGTTAATGATAGGAAGGGTTGAGAGGGTGCGGAGGTGGAGGAGACGACGGCATCGCTGTCGAAATCGTAGTCTAGATTGATGGCTTCAAGGTCCTGTTCGAGACAAGTTGAGATCGTGGCTTTGCGAATCTGTTCGAGGAAGAAGATGGAGCTGCGATGGCTTCGCGGCTGTGCTGGAGGCAAGGCTTGCAGCCAAAATTCAGGATCCGGAGGATCTGGTTGGGAGGGATCCGGAGAGTATTTCTCGCTAACCTGATACCCATTTGGCCAAATAAAGGTCTGGTGGGCTCCATTTAATTTTAGTCTAACCGTCGATTGGAGATGAGTTTTAGGCAAATTAGGTCATTTTTTTATTTTTAAACCCTTATCATTCTCCATTGGAGATTGCCTTGGCCTCGTTTGGCAGCTCAAACTATACTGACTATTTCAGTCGGATAGGATAAATAGTCATCGGATAATATTGACTAAATTAGTCGAACGTTTAGTGCAATATCAAACTAATGACCGTATTATTTATAAAGTTTTTAGTACTTGTTAATAATACTTTTCAATTGATAATTTAAACAAAAAGAAAAAAAAATCACAAATGTGTTTTTCAAAATAAAATATACAATCCAACAGTAAAAATCCTCAATCCATTGTTAATGGAAGCCTTAAGCAGACTCTCCAAGCTTTCGTCGCAATATCATCTTTGAATCAATTAATGCTTCTCTCAAATTGAATCAACAACTTCTCATCTTCGAACTCAATTAATGTCTTCTCTCCAAGTGAATCGACATCTTCCCCTCTTCGAACTCAATATCGTCCTCTATCAAAGTGCTAGAACTCAAAACCTCCATGAGAGATGACGACACTAAAACAGAAATTCCATGCTTTACAAAGAAATCAATTGTCACGCCTAACCTTGAAATTTCCTCCAAACACCAGGTAGGCACGTGCTGGCCAACACGCACGGGTGACAAAGCCATATTAACATGCATGTAAGTTATGAAGAAAGAACGAATGTAAAATAAAACACGTAAACTTAACAATAATGAATATGCAAACGTGGGAACGTATTCAAAGTATACAACTAATCAAAAATACTGTAGAAGGAATATTATGAAAAGGTACGAACAAATGAATGGTTCATACACTGAGAGGAGTCGAAGATACTAATGTGGGAGTGCCTTGACACCGGGATTGTACTCCTCAATTCTAAATCCTGAAGGGGCACAAAACAAAGTATGAGTGGACCAAGTTTACACACACACACACACACACACACACACACACTAAAATAATTAGTCTTCAACGTACTAACCCCCAGTTTTAGAAAACTCGTATAGCATAATAAGTAATAGGTTTTCCGAAAACCCTAGCATGCCATAAAACCTTCATAAAACGTATATCATATATAATATCCTTAGTAGTGGTATCACAATCACCCGAAGGCACCACATCGCCCGCCTGAAGCATATATAAATCTTCCGCCCAAAGGCACTACAGTCGCCCTCCCCGAAGGCACATAGTATGAATATCCACTAAGCAAGCATAGAAAATCATGAACATAATCTTTCTAAAATATATCTTAATCGAAGCTCAATAGCTCAAACATCATATCATAAATCATATTCATAAATATCTCAATAATGTAAATTCGATAAAGCATGATATTTCATAAAGTGTAAATCTGATAACTCAATAAACGTTTCATAAAATGTAGTCATAAAATCATGTTTTTCATGTATGCATTTCTAGTAATTAAATCATGCATTTTGGAAGAGGGTCCACTTACAGATACTCCGTCATCGAAAAGCCGTTCGAACAAGGGAGGACAAAATCGCCACTAATAAACACACTAATTTGGAGTAGTATCGTGGCAGAAGTTGGCTGGAAAATGGCCTGGAAGGCTCAGGTTCTTGCCGGAATTTGGGGAAGTCTCCCAGAGTAGTTTCCTCCGTCGAGAACGACGCTATCTCGTCGTGACTCGTTGGGGAGACGATGAATAATGCCTCCCTATGCAGAGGGAAAGAGATCAGTGAGCTCGAGGCTCGTCCCTTCGATTATGGACGCGAGAATGGGTATAAAAGATGGGGTTAGGGTATTGTAGTCTCGCCGGGGTGGTGATGGTGGCTAGGTGTTTGCACTTGCAGAGAAAGGAGAGGGATGAGAGATATCAGACAGTTCGAGTGAGGGAGAGCTGAGAGAGATGAGGGAGTTAAAGGGAAAAGAGGTCGAGAAAAATGAGAAAGTGGGAAAGAGAGTTCAACTGGGAAGAGGGAGACAGAGAGGGGACACAGGACAACTTGTGGGCCCAGTGGCTTACACTACAAAATCCACCAAAGGCAAAATTTAAAATAAATATCCCAACCAAAGTGAAATTACAAATTACCCTCGACGTTCCGTGTTTCATAAAATCTGGGACAGGTCGTTATAATCAATGCAGCAAAAAAACCCAAATAAAATAAAAAAACCCAATTTTGAGATTTCTAATCCATTGAAATCAAAGACCCAGATGAAATCTCACCTAGTTTTGAGCTTACCCACATCAACAAAATCAAGGAACAATTAAGCCAAAAACTCAGATAATATATCGTGAACAGGATCGACGACACTTTGGGTTCTATCTGCCACCTTTGGATTCCGTTCGAAATCTTCTTGATGCTGATTGAAGGTGGGGATGGAAAAAGAGGGAGAGAAAGGAGTTTCCGATCTACAGAGCAGATAACGAGATGGGTTGGAGAAAAGCGAGCGTGCTATCGTTTTAGGCATGAACGGTGAACCCAACTAAATAATACCAAGGTTTTGCTTGGAATAAACAAGTAGGCGTATGAGGTATTAAATAGGTGGGGCTAGACTAATAATCTGATGCTTATTTAGTACAAGACTCACCGAACACCTGCTTCTTATTATATAGTACTATTCGGTGTCTTATACGGTGTGCCAAACAATGGTCCAATATATCCATCTATGAGATGAGAAACAAATTCTAGAGGGAACGAAGAAAAAAGTGTAAAAGCATAAAAGACTAGATCTTACATTACTATGTTGTAGGTTCCAAGTAGAATTGTTATATAATTCACTTGTTACGTATTTTTCCGCACACTACCAAGATTTTAAAAGATGCTAGGCGCTAACTGGATAGTTGGCTGGGGCCTAGCAGCATAGGCAGATTATTAATTTTATATAAAACATAAACATAAATATCTAATTATACTTAAAAAATATACATAATTGTAATATGATACATAAATTGCAAAGTAAAATGACATACAGATTATAAAGTAAGAACATATTAAAAACATGGGGAACAAACATATAATGACTATTTATTCAAGTATTTAACAAATATCTTACAAGTATTGAAAAAATAAAATGCAAAATGAAAATTATTTATTTTTTGTCCAAGCAAGAGTCACGATCTAGACAAATGCTTTGGTGAGTCTAGACAGGTGTTTAGGCGAGTCTAGGTGGGTTAGGCACCCGTCTAGACTCGCCGAAGCACCTGCCTGGATCGTGACTCTTACTTAGACATCAAGTTCATGGTAGGATTGGGATTAGTAGCATTTAGGGTGGAATCGGTGATGGAAATTTCACCATTGAGGGGGGGGTGGCAACATTCTCCATGGGAGGGGGTTCATAAATGTTTTTTTAATTTATTTTTTATTTTTTTAAGGAACAGGCATAGCAAAAATCCTAGGATCTTTGTAATTTATGTTTATTTTGAGATTTCAATTGTCTAATACTATTCTTTTCACTTAGGAGGCAATATATAAATATTACAGACTTGATTTACAAGGTAAGAATATGCAGTAATATTTACCCTAATTATACAGACTTAAACGAGGAACAAAATCCTCCTAATTACACATGAAAGTGAACTCACTCCGACAATTCTTTCCCCAAACTATGCCTCTTCAACTTGGTCTTTGGAGGAACTTCCACTTTCACTGGATCCCGCTTCATTACTGTATTGTTCACGTGTTTGCTTAATCACATCTCGTTGTACAGCTTTTGATTCGTCAAAATCACAATTGGTAATATCCTCATACAAAGAAATCCTTCTGTTGGAATATTGTTTCATCGTCCGGTTTAGCTCTTTCTTCTGTATCTTGTTCATACACTGAACGGAATCCGCACTTCTTCACCTTTAAGCATGTCTTGTTTTTGACAACATATCTTGTTTCGAAATGAAACCGAATCCGATCCTTGCATTTCTTCCAACGATTGGCCTCATGATCATGGCCTCGTTGCAAAAGGAATTTCCTAAATAGAAAGACCAACCAAAGGTGATTTGACGCTACCTTGTTAAGACAAACTCCAATGCTCATACCCCCTCTAGAAATGTGTTGTTTGAACCAAAACTGCAAGTACATAGAATTACATGTTTATGATGTCCTAGCGAATTTAGTTCCCTAGTGGAAGCTGAAAATTTGGACCAACTACAAATAGAGCTCACGCAGCAAACCCCATCCACTTGTTATTGCATGAGTGCGAAGGTCACTTCTCAATCACCGAATCTCCTATGCTTTGGTTGTTGAACCACTCAGGAATTTCACTTCCAGGAATTACTATACTGAAAAATTCCAAAAAATGAGAGAGCTCCTGCACAAAGGAACAATGTAAATAAATGTACACAACTAAGGTGACGGGGGATGATAGGAGAAAGGGAAATACCTGAAGGAATCTCTTTAGCATTGGATACATTATGGCATTGCAACCTTGATTTCCAGCCAAACTGAAGCAATTGACAGAATACAACCAAAACCCGTTTACTCTGCAAGCATGTGGTAAATATGGGAGCATTTTTAAGGAAGCACAATAGTCCATGCCTATATAATAATTTGCTGTTTAATGGAGAGGTTGGCAGTTGTTGAAGCCGTTTGCAATTTTGCAATTCAAAATACTTCAGCTTAGAAAGCCCACTGATGCTTGCAGGAAGGCTAACAAAATGGTTTCCGCTAAGATTTAGTATTTTTGAAGAAGACAAGAAACCAATATCCTTGGGAATTTCTCCTTCACAAAGATTGCAGTTCTCTAGATTTAAATTCTTCAGAAAGCATAAATCTTTCTGTTGACCCTAAAAATTACAAAGCCTAGGTGGCGCGCAGGCCGAGTAACTAATGAGCTAACTATGTCATTCGGTTGATGCGGGGCGTGCCAACTCGTCAGCCGAGGAGTAAAATTTGTTGATGTTGCATTGAGTACGTTGCTGACTTCTGGATCTTACAACTGCGACTGGGGAAAGAACACGTCTCGGTCTTTAGGTTCTCGAGCCTGAAGACAAGGCTGCTAGTTCTGCGAAGTTCACGAATCGTTGGCACCGAATTTGGTCATAGTGATTATATTTGTGAGAGTATAAACACGTCGAATCGACACCAGACTATATGGACACAAGTACTCAGAGGTGATGTGCGTCTTGATGGTAAATGTGGTTCAACCGTCAGAATGCCGAACTCTGAACTCACTTGCGAATATCCAATCATAAAATCACTCGGCGTTCAATGTGCCGAATGTCGTAACTCGTAACACCTTACTTCACCGAAAAGGCTAATAAGATGACCTCTACCAATAAGGATTTGGAAACCCTTCTCGGTCAAGACTTAGATAGGTAACCAGTCGGTCTCGACGCAGTTCTGTTTATCCAAATTGAAGATGCTCCTCGGTCGGCTGATTCTACGGCAACAGTGCTATTTATCCAAACTGAAGATGTTCGCCGGTTGCCTTCACAGTGCTGTTTATCCAAACTGAAGATGTGTCAGAGGAAAAAGAAAATAAAAAAAAATTTCAAGATGTTTGAAAGGTTTTGCGCAGGGCAATTGTGTGTTGAATTAGAGGGCCTTTTTATGTTGAACAGTGCCTTGTATTTATAAGGTAGGTATTTGGTTGACACGGCTATATAATTGCGGAGTCCGACTGTAACTCTAACTTGCAGAATGAAATACGACCCGTGTGACTAACTTTTCAAATAAAAACCCATCTAGGTTTATCCCATCATGACCAAAGACCTAGCCTACCTAGGCTTCTTATCATGACTCCATCACCATTAAATCCTAGGCTTATCACATCACCACATCATCACCAAAAACCTAGCTTTCCTAGGCTTTCATCATCTTTTACAAAAAAGCCGCAGTAGCCTTTATCCTATGCATGTATAATAAAATGAAATATAATCCCATCATGCATGCCTTATTATCTGATACTTTAAAGACCATCTTCCATCAAATACATGGCATCCAATTCTTGCACAGCATCAGTCAATCACCCATTCAATCTCATATGTATCTCCTCATAGTCTTTATCTGACTAACATTTAATTTGCACACAAATTGCTGCTTAACCAGATAAGAATCTCAAAGCTTGAGATATAGTTTGCATCCATTTGTCTTATATAAAAACAATTCTTTACTAAAAGATAATGATTATGATAAAATCATAATAATATCTTTTAATAATAAAATTACCTTCACCATTTCATCCGTCAGTCTGGAATTATGCTCAATCAACGGTCTCGATTGCATGGGCCGATGGTGTAAATTTGGATCCAAACATTGCCCCCCAATTTCCTTGAACTTCGGCCTGTAAGCCGAATGTTTAAGGAAATTAACTGTTCATCGTCAACAACATTTCATCGTATTGCCGAAACAAATTTTGTACCTCGACATTAAAGCCACCTCTGTTTTGCCAATGTCGTAAAGCGGGACCGAGGCCGAGAGTAATTGGGGTCGAGGTCAATAAAAACTGTTCCTGAGCTCGACCTGCCTATATATATATATATAAACCTGATGTGACACTGCTGTACATGTAGTTGGCATATATATATTGTTTCAGGTTGCCATAACCGAGAAGAAAAAGGTGCCATATATATATATATATATATATATATAAAAGTAGCCTGATGTAGGCTGACTTTAACACCAAGGCTATAATGATGTTGGCTTGTCATTTCAAACAAATTGCACACTGCACCAAGTATATATATAGGGGTGTGCTATCCACACATTTCATTTTACTTCTCACACATCCTTGATAATTTATGTCCGTTGATCTTCTTCAATTCATCCGATCCGACGGTCGAAAATTTAAAAGGTGTGTGAGAAGTAAAATGGAATGTGGATATCACACCCCTATATATTAAAAGTGACCGAATTCTTCTCCTGACAAATGCCAACAGTGGAACCACTTGCTGATGACAAGGTCCTCGACCGAGACAAAAAATTGGCCACAATGAACAACGAATGCAACTGCATGCTGACTTATTGTACAAATATATGCTGCATATATGCTTAACTGTTCGCACTGCTTGTTGACCCCTTTATTTTCTTACGTCTCAGCCTGCACGGTCGAATGATTAAGAAAATACTTTATTCTCCTTTTTTTTTCTTTTTCTTTTTTTTTTAGCAAAAGAAAATGAAAACAACTCAATCATAATCAGGAGGAGGCCAACGATGCTTTATTCCAAACCGAGATCTTTTTACATCAAAACTTTCACTTTGAGATTTTTCAAAGTTGAATAACATATCATCTCCAAATATGTTCGGCTTGACAAAAGATTTTTATCATCAACTGCCGAATGTGTTGAACAATTATTATGCCCCCCAGGCATAATTTCGCCAATTTCAACTTTTAACTCGAAAAACTTAGCCGAACAGGATTTCTCCATATCGGCTTTATCACCAATAACCATGTCAATTGGGGTAGTTTCGGCATCTAAAATCACGTCTCCAATTACCATATCAATTGATGTGGTTTTATGGTCAGAAGTTGTGTATTGGTCTTGTTCGTCATTGGAACACTCATCTGACGAATCATTTTCTGAGTCAATTTTTGGCTCAGAAACTTGAACATTTTCTTCTAGGCCTACCACACTTTCAGTCTCGACCGAAAAAATAGGTGACTTAGGTTTTTCATCTAGGCCTACCACACTTTTAGTCTCGACTGAAAAAATAGGTGGCTTAGGTTTTTCTTCTTGGCGAACCATATTTTCAGTCTCGACTGAAAAAATAGGTGGCCTTTGTTCTTCAGCCAAATTAACAATTTTTTTAGGCCGAATGTTGGTTGTGGCCAGAGTGAAAATTGTCCCTCGATCTTTTGATCCAACCATTCTTCAAATGGAATTGATTTGAACCCAAAAGGCGTTTTCTTATCGAATCACTCATAATATCGAATTTATCGTCATTTAACCATTGATCTTGTAAGCTGCGATGAACTTTCACTTTTATCATTTGAGAGAAAAATTTCTCCCTTTCTTTATTTGATTCGACGATCCGGCCAAGGCGTTTTTGTCGCTTGACAATCTCCTCGAATAGGCGCCGAATCTCATCCTGATTGTGATCTTGGTACATCATGTGAACTTCGTAGTTTTAGCACTGTGTCCCATTGGGCTTGCCAAAATGTTGACCCTAAAAATTACAAAGCCTACGTGGCGCGCAGGCCGAGTAACTAATGAGCTAACTACGTCCTTCGGTTGATGCAGGGCGTGCCAACTCGTCGGTCGAGCTCGACCGAGGAGTAAAATTTGTTGATGTTACGTTGAGTGCATTGTTGACTTCTTAATCTTGTAACTGTGACCGGGGAAAGAACATGTCTTGGCCTTTGGGTTCTCGAGCCTAAAGACAAGGCTGCAGGTTCTGCGAAGTTGCCGAATCGTCGACGCCGAATTCGGTCACAGTGATTATATTTGTGAGAGTATAAGCACGTCGAATCGATACCAGACTATATGGACACAAGTACTAAAAGGTGATGTGTGTCTTGATGGTAAATGTGGTTCGGCCGTCAGAATGCCGAACTATGAAACTCACTTGTGAATATCCAATCATAAAATCACTCGACGTTCAATGTGCCGAATGTCGTAACTCGTAACACCTTACTTCGCCGAAAAGGCTAATAAGATGACCTCTGCCAATAAGGATTCGGAAACCCTTCTCGGCCGAGACCTGGATAGGTAACCAGTCAGTCTCGACGCAGTGCTATTTATCCAAACTGAAGATACTCCTAAGTCGGCTGATTTTGTGGCAACAGTGTTGTTTATCTAAACTGAAGAAGTGTTGGCAGAAAAAGAAAATAAAAAAAAATCTCAAGATATTTGAAAGGTTTTGCGCAGGGCAATTGTGTGTTGAATTGAAGGGCCTTTTTACATTGCATATCGCCTTGTATTTATAGGGTAGATATTTGCTTGACACAGCTATATAATTGTGGAGTCCGACTACAACTCTAACTTGCAGAATGACATACGACCCGTGTGGCTAACTTTTCTAATAAAAACCCATCTAAGTTTATCCCATCATGACCGGAAAATTTTTAGGTGTACCGGGTACACCAAATTTTTTTGGTGTACCCTCACTCATTAGAATTTTTTTGGTGTACAAAAAGTGAGGGTGCACCAAATTTTTTTGGTGCACCCTCACCATTATGAGTGAGGGTACACCAAATTTTTTTGGTGTGCCGGGTACATCGAAAAATCCCTCATCATGACCAAAGACCTAGCCTACCTAGGCTTCTTATCATAACTCCATCACCATCAAACCCTAGGCTTATCACATCACCACATCATCACCAAAAAACTAGCTTTCCTAGGCTTTCATCATCTTTTACAAAACTGCCGTAGTAGCCTTTATCCCATGCATGTATAATAAAATGAAATATAATCCCATCATGCATGCCTTATTATCTGATACTTTAAAGACCATCTTCCATCAAATACATGGCATCCAATTCTTGCATGGCATCAATCAATCACCCATTCAATCTCATCTGTATCTCCTCATAGTCTTTATCTGACCAACATTTAGTTTGCACACAAATTGCTGCTTAACCAGATAAGAATCTCAAAGCTTGAGATATAGTTTGCATCCCATTTATCTTATACAAAAACAATTCTTTACTAAAGATAATTATTATGATAAAATCATAATAATATCTTTTAATAATAAAATTACCTTCACCTTTTCATCCGTCGGTCTGGAACTATGCTCAATTAACAGTCTCAATTGCATGGACCGATGGTGTAAATTTGGATACAAACATTTTCATAGTAGCTAAGACCAGACTCACAGGGTGAGAAATCTTTGTTGGAAATTCGCCAAAAGTGAAGAAGGAAGGCCATGATCTAGCTGGTGGTGCATTACATATGAGAAAATTTGATAGTTCAAAAATTTTCACTGAAACCGGGGAGGATTCCATCTCTCTCAAGGCAATTCCACTTAAATCAATTTCCTCCAAACTCCAACGTATAACTGAGGAAGGCATTTCCTGAACAATAGTTCGGCTTAAAGAAAGCTTAGAGAAAATTTTCATTTCTCGAACAAATTCTGGAATCTTTTTTACTTTTGAGCAGCCAGAAATATCAAATATTTCTAGAGATTCCATTTCTACCTTGTTTGGGAGACTCTTAATACTTTTACAGTCTTTAAGATTTAAAAGTCTAAGCCTTTTGAGAAATGCAATGGATGAATGAATCTTAACTAAATTTGTACAACCTTCAAGAACCAGCTCCTCGAGATTTAGAATATCTGTGAAATCTGGGGTCCTTGTCAAGTTGTGCGAGTAACGAAGATCGATAGACTTCAAATTGCCCAAGCGCTGTACAAAATAGAAATGTTACAATAGTTCATGTTCAGAAACTACAATTATAGTAATTGACAAATTAAAATCAATTGTCCAATCATCTACCTTTCGTCCATTCCAAAGGTGATCAGTTTTGCCATGCAGCAGACTAAGTTCTGTAAGTTCATCTGGTTGAAAAATTGGTAAATTTTTGTGATACAAGAAAGGTAAAATTTCCATATGGGGTTAATTGCTACACATAATTAGGGTGAGTAATCATATTTATTGACATATTTAGGATTTTGTGGCATAATTAAGTTGTAAATATTTTGTAATAATTGGTTACATATTTGTCTACATGGTAGTCTATTTGAAACTTGGGTTTTATTTGAATGTTTAATACTAGGTGGTTTTTTGTTTGAAAATAGGAGTTTCAAGCGTCTTTCTCTAAAGAACCCTAATAAATAATATATACATATAATATATATATATATATCTATATATAACTGATATATGTAGATTTCACTCTTACCTACTTAAGGCAAAAGAAATAATATGCATATATACATGATGTAGTACCATTAAATTTCATAAACAGTGAGTACCATTAAGTTCATAAACAGTATAGTACCATTAAGTTTCATAAACAGTGTAGTACCATTAAGTTTTATAAACACTGTAGTAAGTTTCATAAACAATTTGGTAAGTTTTATAAACAATATATGTGAGGACGCGGGGTCCCACGCACCAATTTTTATTTTATTTTATTTTTTTTGTAATATTAAAAGTATGACTTTTGTATTAAAATTTAAGTTCTTTGTCTCCTTTAATTATAATTTAAGAGTTCTTCATTAAAATTTAAGTTTTTTTTCATTAAATAAAGTTATAGTATAATTTTTGGTTAAAATAAATTTAGCCAAGCTCTTTTCATGAAAGTTCCCATTATCAAATTCACTTACCTTACAGTCCTTGACATCTACCTAACAATTTGAATGGCACATGCACTACAAATATTGGGAAGATTTCTAAATTGAAATTCATGCCCCTTTCAATGAGTGCCTAGAAACTAATGGCATTGAACAAGACATGGAGATATGGATATTAATTTCCAATTCCTACAATCAATGTTGTATGACCAGGATGTATAGACGGTTTGGCATTTCAATGGTACTTTATGGGCACGTTTGATACACAAGATCGATTTGGCTCGGACTAATTGTAGGGAATGGTTGGATTGGTTGGCTTGAACTAATTGTAGGGAATGGTTTGATACGCAAGATCGATTTATTTTGTTTTGGTGCCTACCTGGTATTTCCATAGAAAAACTCTGAAACTCAGAAACACATGGTATTTCCATGAAAAAACTCCAATCTGAATTGGGATAACAAACTTGTCAAACAATGTTCCCTGCTTTTTCGGTTTAGACACTACATGTGTGATTAGTATTGAGCTGCTGGTCCGACTTTTAAATCTAGATAGATTTTTCCTTCAATAAACTTGAAAAGTTTCACTTGGACTAGGGAAATGTTCAAAGTGTAGGTTTTTTTGTGTTGCCTACAATAACCTCGCCAACAAACTTCCTGAATTATAGAGTATGTTGGAGTAGAAAATTTTTAGGCGACGAGTTCACTCCACGACTCATCATTGTGGCCTGCGACAAGTTCAGTCGTTTTCGGCAACTACAAACCAGCTAAAAATAAACCCTCTCTCACATTCAATCTAACCCTCAAATCTATTTCTAGAAATTCTTAGCCGTTTTCGATTATTAAGTTGGTGCCCAAAGTCCCGCTAAACGCTGGTGATCGGACCTTCTTGTTACAACTAGTCTTTTAACCTTAGTCTCAGAAACCAAAATCATCCGTTGCATGCTTCGATTTGTTACAGTTCAAGGTGAATCAGAGGTAAGTTGTTGCCTAATTTTTCCTGCAAAAGCTTTTTCGGCGAGATTCCTTGATCCTCAACTCCTAAACCCTAATCCAATCTCTTTGACCCTTACTTAGAAGTGATTTCAATTTTCACTCCCTTAAAAACAACATAGGTATAAAAACTTAGTGAGGCGTAAATGCTCACAGCGGTAAATTTTAGTGAATTTTATTTTGCACATAGAATAACAATCACATTTGGGAGCGAGCAATCATAGACCAAAACTGAGCTGAGAATGAATTGGATTACAGCTACTAAGATGGATAGTTATTGTATGCAAGTTTTTGAGAAAATGGTATTGAGAATTTGATAATTTGGGAGTGAGTAATCATAGGGCCAAAACAAACCGGAATCGTTATTTCCGACAACATTTCTTTATTTCAATTTTAGGCATTTCCTAGCTTAGAATATTTCTTAAGAACCAGATGTAGTTTTCGTTTTTAGAATATTATCATTTAGTTTGTTGAAAATATTTAGGGACCTAAGTTCATATGGTGCTCTCACCTTTGTGATGCAGAGCTTATTAGATCTTATGACTAATCAAACTATTGTTTACTTGCAAAGATGTCTTTAACTTTCAATTGGCTTTTGCAGTACTTTTAGGACCAAGCTGAATTTGATATCATTAAGCTCAAGACAAGAATTAGTCCATTTCCATCTCAAAAAGCAATAGATGGCAATTAAACCACCATGCATCAGGTAATCTTTACGCTTAGTTGCATTCAATTGCTATCTAGACCAAAAGAACTTACAATAGATCATTACAAACTCGGGGTAGATTGAAAAAGAGTAGGTCTGGCGGGCTTCTACAGTTTAGGGAAGAATACCAAGATTTTTATTTTGTTTAACTCCCAATATAAACATGTGCATTTTGTTAGCAGTATTGAAAACTATTGTATAAAACATTTTGCAGGGGGTTTTGTTGATTATATATAATTGTGAATTTTTGGCATTCAGAGAGTTTTGGAGTTCCTGCGATTTAGGGTACCGTGCGCCATATAAGGCTAAGAAGTTACCATTACAACTCGTCTCAAGAGTGAATATTTAAGTTGGTGAGTAAGCCGTACAATGGGAGTGTTGTGCAAGTTACTTAAGTTCTGCATATTGATTTTAAGGCTAATTATGTGGTGTTATGTATAAGTACACACCATTATATTCTTTCAAAGAATACATCAGTTTCTATAGTAGCAAAATGATTGCGAACATTGACAAATATCAAGTAACTTAAACTATCATGCTAGATCCTAACTTTCTAATCTTTACTTACAAAGAGTTGATGACTAGGCAGTGATTTCTATTGAGCACCAATTATTTGCACCCCTTTAATTTCCCTCCCATAATTGAAGTGTTTTTGACTCTCTGTAGTAATGATTTACAAAATTGTTCAATTTTTTTCTTCCATTGTGTTTCCTTTTTCAAAAATTAAGATAGAAAGGGAATGCTATGATAATTTGAGGTTTCCGTTTTGATATTCATGTGTACTTTAGACTTTAGACTTCAGTAGGTACAAAAAAGGAGATTTGGTTTTGCAAATATAGTCATTAGTAATGCTTTTATGGTTTTCTTTTATGTTGAGAAAATTGGGATTCCTCTTAAAAGACTTTATTGCTCATATGGTTAGGAGTACTTATAGGAACTTTGCTTTCTTTATCAGACACTAGAAGAACAGTGGAAGTGAATGAATTTATGAGGGCTGGCTTATAGATGGATGGCTTCCTAATTTGTATCGCTACCATGTTTAGCTTTACTATCGATTCTTCATTAATCCATTCATGGTAAATCAATTTGAAATTTCATTCATCTCCTACAACCTATTGATTTGTCCATTTTACTATTTAGGTTTGTCGAAAAATTGCTCAAAGAGCAGACTGTTAGTGTGATTTGAATTGGTTGTAAATAGTATCCTCTCTTTGTAAATAACACTTTAAAATCATCTCTCAGTGTAAACATATTATATGTAAAATAATATCACCTTAAACGGTCATAAAACCCCGGCATTGCACGGCTGGCTCAATTGCTAGTTCTAAAGGGTAAGAAAAAAAATGGCAAAGCAGAAAAGACTTTTCCTTACATTAATATGTTGCAGGTTCCAAGTAGAACTATTATATAATTCACTTGTTACGTAATTTTCGCACACTGCCAAGGTTTTAAAAGACGCTAGGCGCTAATTGGGTGGTTGACTGGGGCCCAGCAGCCTAGGCGGATCTTTAATTTTTTATAACATATAAATATAAATGCATACTTATACTTAAAAAAAAGGTGTGCTAACCACACACCCCCTCTTACTTCATACACACCTTTTTAATTTGCGAACGTCGGATCAACTAAATTAAAGAAGATCAAAGGACATAAATTAATAAAAGGTGTGTGAGAAGTAAAAAGGGATGTGTGAATAGCACACCCCTGAAAAAAATACATAATTGTACTGTGGTACATAAGTTGCTAAGTAAAATGACATACATATTGTAAAGTATTATGACATATTGAAAACATGGGGAGCAAACATATAATGACTATTCATCCAAGTCTTTAACAAGTATCTTACAAGTATTGAAAAAATAAAATGTAAAATAAAAATTATCTATTTTTTGTTTAAGTGAGAGTCATGATCTAGGTGGGTGTTTAGGTAAGGCTACACCGGTGTCTAGGGGGGTGCTTAAGTAAGGCTAGACCGATGTCTAAGCGAGTCTATGCGGGTTAGGTACCTCGTCTAGACTTGCCTAAACACCCGCCTAGATCATGAATCTTACTTAGACATCGAGTTCATGGACTCTTTATGTTACAACTTATGGTAGAGTCATCGAGTTCATGGTAGGATCAAGATTAGCAATGTTTAGTAGTAGGTATAACACCGGTTGGGTTGGAATCGGTGATGGGGAATATCACCATGGAGAGGCGGCACATTCTCCCGGGGAGGGTTCAGAAATTATCTATATGTTAAAACCTAGTGGAAAAGTATTGTTTACCAGCAGTAAAATGACGGAATTGCCCTCAATTAGCTTTTCTTTCCCCGTTGTTTTTCCGTCTTGACACAGTGAAATTACGCATTTGTCCACGTTGGCCACGCGTCCATCATCGTCTGAACCTCTAATTCGACTGCAACTTCTCGATTTTTCCATCCGTTTCCAGTTCTCTCTTTCACAAATCTCTGCTTCCGTTGCTCTCGACTTGCCTTCTATCACTCTCAAACGCCGGGTAAGCTATCGACCACCCCCTCTCTACCTTCTTCTTCTTCTTCTTCTTTCACTTCTCCCTGTGCAAATCTGAGAGACGCCTACCACAATTGCTTCACTAGGTCCTCTCAGCATAAAATTATTTTTTATTATTGCTCGTAAACCCTAATCTTTCTCTTGTCTCTCTCTAAAATCCATCTGAAAAAGGTATAATGGGTATTGTTTCAGTTTGCAGGTTGTACTCGGCAAAGTATGTGAAGGACCAATAAATGGATTCGAAGATGAAGCAAGTCAAGGGACACAGAGCTCAGAATATCGGAGGTATAAATTGGCTGCCGTGAAATTTTTTTATTTAATTAATTTCAACAGGTATCTAAGAAATTCTTAGTATGAATAGTCTGTGTTGAGTCTCTGAGCATCTTTATTTTTTATATTAAATGATCTCTGTAGTGTCTGTATATTTGTGCATCCATGCATGACTGATTTCTTTCATTCATTGTTTCCTATATCCGAATTTAAATCTATTTATTTTTTTAAATTGATCTGGGATGTTGAGAAATTGGAGCTCTTCTGGGGTCATATCCATTGTGATTTGGCGATCTGATGCGAAGAAAATGAAATAAAATTAGGGTTTTGGATTGATGTGGTGTTTGGTTTTATTTCCTGTAATCAGTGCTTACCACCTGTTTGAGAATATGTATTAAACATTTTTTTGGGATTTTTTTAGATTATCTATATGTTTCGAATGTTTTTTGGTTTGTCATGTGTGTAAGAATGTGAAATAGACTATCTGAGGTAATCAATTTGAACATAGCATATAGAACCTTTTGAATTCAGGTTGTCTTCTTTTTCCTTTTATCTTTCTATTTATTTGTATTGGGACTGGTTACTTATTTTTTTTTTCTCCAGATTAGAGATTTTATTCTTCTGCACTTCAAATTTGAAGCACGATGTAGTACAGAGTATACAATTCCTTGGCTATGAGGTTTGTTATTTGTTTATTTCTTTGTTCCACTTTTTTAGTTAAGGGTTCTTTTTTATTTGACTTAACTTTGATTTTTGAAACGGTCCCTGCTGCTGCTAATGAAGATTTTTCAAGAGGGTTTTACTTTTTTGAAGAGTTACTTTCAAGGATGAAAATGAGTGTTCCAAAGAAAGCTAGGAGTTCCGGTGATGAAATTGAACTTATCTTCTTGGTAAGGAGTCTTCAATTTTTCGGTTTTTAAGATGATAAAAATTAATTATTTGTTTTCTTATTTGGTCTTTTGCTAAGGGATTGAGTTGCTTTTGCGACGGAGACATTTCAGAAGAGAATGAGACTTTCCATGTAAGATCGAGGTGCCTACAAAACTATAAATGGATGTCTTATTATCTAATTAGGTTCAGTTTGTATTTAATACATATAATTGTATTGGTAGGTCTGTAGTACTTTCTCTGCATGCTAATTAGGTTCAGTTTGTATTTAGTACATATAATTGTATTGGTAGGTCTGTAGTACTTTCTCTGCATGCTTAGGGTAAATTGTTTGCCTATTCTGGGAGCAGCAATTCCGAGGTTGATTGATAGGGTGAATATTGAATCTGTCGACATTAAAGGGACTTAGTTAGTATGGCAAAAGTTCTGTTACTTTATTTTCACGGAACTAAGAGAATAATTTTATTTTTGTATCAAAGATTCATTCATGATCACATATTTATGTGCGCATGGTCTTTGATTGGTGGTGACCCAGATATTTGCAGATGTGCTTCAACGTTGAGGTCAATTAATTTCTAAACTCATGATTACATTGACTAGCCTAATAGCTAGGTAACCACACATGTGCATAATGTTGTTTTTACTAATCGAAGCAACTGCTGACAGTGTTGTAAACTTTGCTTCTTCCTTTATTCTTTCAATGTTGAGGATTATTTGGTTGTTTTTATACAATTCGAAAGTTGGTCATGAAACATGAGTGATACGTTTCTATACAAGTTTCGGTGGGGCACCCCATAGAAAACAATTTTCTGTTCTGTAGCAATGTAGTTGAAAGCTACCATATTTTCTGTTTATGTTGAGCAAAACTATGATCAACATCAGCTATATCCATAGAAAACAAATCATCCATCGTGTCCTTATTTGTTATGCTACTTTTTTTACAGTTTCATAGAAAACAAATTGATCGCTTTCACTTTTGGAAGCAACTATACTCTTTTACCAAATCAAAATCTCTTTTTCAAGTTTTAATATTTCACTTTAGTTTTTTGTTTTTGCCTTTTTGAATGGGTAGTTTTGTTATTTTGGAGACATGCTACATGAATGCATTTATACATTGTTGTACTAACAAAATATAAATTTTTAGTTTCAGACCGAAATGAGTATATTTCCAATCCAAAGTTTGGATCCATTTGAAGCTACCAAAAAATCTAGAGTTTGTGTTAGCAAAATGTGGAGACAAAAAGTTTTCAAATCTGATATTCGGTTTTCTCATTTGCACTGCATATTGGTTGATGCATTGGTAAGAAAAATATCTACTTACACTTCAAATGTAAATAATGTTAACTAATTTTTTAGTTTAATGGCTGTTTGGATGCATAAAAATCTTTTTTGTTCAAATGTCCTTTTGAATGGATAATCAAATCGATATAGATTTTGTTTTATCCTTTGCTTTATCAGTTTATCTTACTTATTTGAGTTAAATGCAAATCCCAATATTGCATAGTTAAGCCCTAAAATTAGAACGCAATTTCTTTACATGAAACTGAAGTTTTCTCTAATTGAGAACTCTCTTTTTGTTCAAATTGTGTTACAAATTTTGTGTTTTTTTTTTCTTTTAACAGTTGGACTTAAAAGAGATCAAGTATGCAGGGGATTTGGTAGGATAAACATATAAGAGGTAGAGGTCAACTCTTTCTCTCATGTTAACTTCTACTGTGATCTTTTTGTTATTAAATTTTGGTGGAAACATTGTTAGTATAAACCTTATCACAATACAATAGGAAGATGGATTAGAAATAGAGAGGTGTTAATTTGATTTTCTGTTTACTTTAGCGATTCTGGATAATGATCATGAATGTTGGTGATATTGCATCTCTTTTTTTTTTTTTTCGTGCTTTTATACCACGATTATGCATATTGTTTATTTCAAGCATGTTTTTGTGATAGCTAAATGATTCATATTGCAGAACATGCTTAAATAATTATAGCTTTAACTGATCACTTATCTTTAATCTCTCCCTCCCTCTCACCATTGCAGTAACTCCCGTTGTATTCCGTTTGCTTTTGTTGCTGCCAGTCTGCAAGTAAATCTTTAAAGTTTGCATTTTTCTATTCCTGACACACTTATTCGACACTATGTTTTCTTTCAAGTTGGTGTGTGAGTGCATTTTCCACTGATCCTTCTGTTGAACTCTCACTGAGTTCTGATTTTGATCACAATATTCTTTGAATTTTCTCCTCTGTCCTATGTTCCACTTATTTCACCTTGTAATTTCTCCACATTAAATGTTCATGGTTTAAGGGTATTGTTCTAATATTATATTATTTTATTTATTTTAACAACATTGCAGACAGTATACTTCTTCCAAAATAAGAGAAAAAAATGTGTGATTGTCCGCAAAGCACTTACCAAAGACAGAAATATAATATGGAAGTATATCTTTTGTATGTTTACATTTAAAATTTTTTTGCATTCTTTTGGGTTTATTTATTTATTTATGAAATTTGATGACTAATTTTTAAATAATGTGAAATTAGTTCTTCGCTGTGAAATGTTCATTTTTCAGTGTTTCTGTTAAAACAATGAAATCTTAATCTTCTATCAAATGGGTTGTAATTTCATATGTTTTAATGTAAACAGTTCACTGATTTTAGTTGTAGTGTGTTGGTCAAAATTGCAGGATTATTAAGGTTTTATTTTCTGATTTGGATTTTGAAATTGAGTAATTTTCTGCTGTCTTTTGAGTAGACGTGGGATTTAGTTTAATGCCAGGGGTTGTAATGGGTGGATCGAACTTTTCGAATTTCAATTCCCCCTAAATCTCTTCATTCCAACCACATATTTGAGGATATGGTTTTAATTGTTTGTTTGAACTTTGAGCGTTTGACCATACCTGTTATTTGGATGCTAGGATAATTTACATGCTATTTGGATACTAGGAAAATTCATGTAACTTAAACAAAGATTGTTTTCATAATTTTCTGAGAAATGTGGAATTTTGTTATCCTATAACCTGATCAAAGTTTTGAATTTCTATTAAGACCAATATTAGTTGTGAGATTAAGAAATTTCGTAAATCGATTTTGGTTCAAGAAATTCCAATATTCTTTGTTGGTCCTTGAGATTTTCATTAGTATTGAGTATATTGGTTTTTGTGTCAGATTTGCATGGAAGATGAGAAGACGATCTCTGTATCCTTTGAAACACGTATTTCGGAAAGCTTGATGATTCGCCTATGTTTCGCTGACAGGTTCGTTCTTTTCTAAATGTTTATATTTAGTCTATTTACACTCAAGTGTTAAGTCATGCTAATATGGATGTATGCAGGTTATCTGTTTTCACCATAATTTTCATATAATTTATGAAGAATGTATAGGAACGACAATGATTGAGTGGATTATGTGAGTCTCACCATATAAACAGTGGATTCCACCTGATTGTTCCCCCTCTCAAAACAAAGTTTGGGTGGATTAACTAAGATATATGTAGTTAATCTTTTTGTTTGTCTATGAGTCATGGTTTTGAACTTTTGATGGTTGGTGACTAATAATGTAACATATAATTAATGGGACAGGCAGTGGCACATATTTGGGCAGGGCTTGGAGAGCCGGACCCCAGATGGTGTATGCCTACACCAGCATGACCAAGGTGGTTAACCCAGCCCGCTGGAGCGACGATAACCACGCTGAACGTGACAAGTAAGCAGATTATGTCGATTAAAACATTATTAAGCGTTTTCATATGATTAGTTTTGGGAGTTAATAATAACTTGGTTCTTAGAGACTGTTTTGCATTGCTTCTTTCCTTACTACGTTATATGATATGGACATAATTTTTTTTTTTATTTGTCATTTTAAAGGTTGTCTGGGCCCTTGATTTTTTAACGTGCAAGTCATCAAGAGAAAATCGTGCAACTTGGTCTTTGACTCTTTTGGAGGAACTTCCACTTTCACTGGGTCCTGCTTCATTACTGTATTGTTCACATGTTCGCTTAATCATGTCTCGTTGTACAGTTTTTTATTCCTCAAAATCACAATTGGTAATATCCGCACACAAAGAAATGCTTCTGTTGGAATATTGTTTCATCGTTCGGTTGAGTTCTTCTGTATCTTGTTCATACACTGGACGGACTCCGCACTTCTTCACCTTCAAGCATGTCTTGCTTCCGACAACATCTGCTGTTGCGAAACAAAACCGAATCTGATCACAACATTTCTCCTCCCAACCATTGGTAGATAGAAATACCACCCAAAGGTGATCTGACGCTACCTCGTTAAGCAGAACTCCAAAGGTGGTCATACGACCGTCTCGCAAGGTGGGATAACATGCAAGTTCATGCCTATGATGTCCCGGCAATTTTAGTCCACGATTGGGAGCTGAAATATTTTGAGCAGGTGCAAATAGAGCGCATACAGCAAACCCCACCAGCTTGCTATTGCATGAGTGCGAAGGTAGCTTCTCAATCACCGAATCTCCCATGCTTTGGTTATTGAACCACTCAGGAATTTCACTTCCAGGAATTACCGTACTGCAAAATTCCTCATTAAGGGTTTCCGGCAAGTGAAACTCCTGCACAAAGGAACAACGTAAATAAATGTACACAACTAAGGAGACGAGGGAGGATAGGAGAAAGAGAAATACCTGAATGAATCTCTTTATCATTGAATACATTATGGCATTGCAACCTTGATTTCCAGCCAAACTGAAGCAATTGACAGCAATCAACCAAAAACTCCTTGAATCGCTGCTTAATGAAATGGCTGGCGGTTGTTGAAGCCTTTTGCAATTTTCCAACGTAAAATTCTTCAGCTTAGAAAGCCCACTGATGCTTGCAGGAAGGCTAACCATATGGTTTCCGCTAAGATTTAGTCTTTCTAAAGAGGACAAGAAACCAATATCATCAGGAATTGCTCCTTCACAAAGATTGCAGTTCTCCAGATTTAAGTTCGTCAGCTTAGAAAGCCCACCGATGCTTGCAGGAAGGCTAACCATATGGTTTCCGCTAAGATTTAGTCTTTCTAAAGAGGACAAGAAACCAATATCATCAGGAATTGCTCCTTCACAAAGATTGCAGTCCTCCAGATTTAATTCCTTCAGAAAGCATAAATCTTTCAACGAAGCTAAGACCACACTCGCAGGGTGAGAAATCTTTGCTGGAAATTCGCTAGAAGTGAAGAAGGAACGCCATGATCTAGCTGGTGGTGCATTGCATCCAAGAAAATTTGATGCTACCAAATTTTTCACTGAAACCAGGGAGGATTCCGTCTCTCTCAAAGCAATTCCACTTAAATCAATCTCCTCCAAACTCCTACGTATAACTGAGGAAGGTATTTCCTGAACGCCAGTTCCGCTTAAAAAAAGCTTAGAGAAATTTTTCATTTCTCCAACAAATTCTGGAATCTTTTTCAGTTTTGAGCAGCCAGAAATATCAAATACTTCAAGAAATTCCATTTCTACCTTGTTTGGGAGACTCTTCATACTTTTACAGTCTCTAAGATTTAAAAGTCTAAGCCTTCTGAGAAACGCAATGGATGAATGAATCTTTACTAAATTTGTACAACCTTCAAGAACCAGCTTCTCGAGATTTTGAGTACCTGTGAAATCTGGGGTCCTTGTCAAGTTGTGGGAGTAACTAAGATCGATAGACTTCAACTTGCCCAAGCGCTGTACAAAATAGAAATGTTACAACAGTTCATGTTCAGAAACTACAATTATTGTAATTGACAAAGTAAAAATCAATTGTCCAATCATCTACCTTTATTCCATCCCAAAGGTGATCAATTTTGCTATGCCGCAGACTAAGTATTGTAAGTTCATCCAGTTGAAAAATTGGTGGTGGACATTTGGAGGGATACCAGCTCCATTTGAGAACTCTTAAAGCATTCGGAAGATACTTGGGGCCCTTAGAAAGGCTCACATTACGAATGTCGAGCAACCTCAGCTTACACATCTTAGTGAATGCTTCAGGATTCCAGTGTGCCTCTTCAAATTCACTCAAGGGTAAGACTATGGCTTCAATTGCCTCTGATCCCTGATAAATAAGATTAAAGGAATAGTTAATTTCGTAATCAAGTCTCTTATCATGTTAAATAATATTGTAGTGTCCTATCCAAACTTTGGTATTTTCATTTTCTCACAACTTCTTACCGTATTCTCTGCAAGCACATGCAAGATATCATTACGAAGCCACAACCGACTACGACCACCTGGCTCCTCATAAGACTCTTGTCGAACAATCTCCCATGCCATTTCTTGAATCAAATCATGCATAGACACAGACTTGTATACAATATGCAAGAGAGATTTCTCAATAAGAACATCGATCACAATGCGAGCGCCAACAAAGCCACAGTTTTCTAGTCCTTCAATTACCCGCTCCTTTTCACAAGACTTATGGAAACATGCAATGTCAAGGAAGATTCTCTTCTCAAACTCATCTAGTCCATCATAACTTATTTTCAATGTTTCAAAAATTTTCCTATCAGGAGCTTGCTTCAGTTTATCTAGTGCACTCTTCCATTCAGCTCGACCTCTTTTGTACAAAAAAGACCCTAAAGTTTTAAGAGCTAATGGAAGACCACTTGCATAACTGATGAAACATTTAGACAATTTTAAAAAATCTTCTTCCAACTCATCATCTTTAAAGGCTTTCCGACTAAAGAGAAAAAGAGCTTCATCTTGGGTTAATGGCTTAACCTCATATGCCTTCTCTATACCATGTTCGACTAACAAACGTTCATTTCTAGTTGTAATGACAATTCTACTCCCGAAACCAAACCACTCTTTTTGTTTGACCAACTTTTCCAGTTGGTCTGATTGATCCACATCATCGAGTATGAGAAGAACCTTTTTAAATAAACACCTACTTATCCTAGTGATTCCACTATAAGCATTGTCCCCTAAGATATCATAAAGAAGCTGCTTTTGTAGATGAACTATACCATCCTTAGAGCACACCTCTCTAACATTAGCAAGAAAGCTGCTACCTTCAAAATCATGAGAAATTCTATCGTAAACTAATCTAGCTAGGGTTGTCTTACCCACTCCACCCATCCCCCCATATCCCTATAAAGCGAACATCATTTGCATCTGTATCTAAAAGCAAATCTATTTCCTTCAGTTTAGAATCGATTCCGACAAACCTCTCTGAGGAATCTAACATTGACAACGTAGGATGCACTTCCTCCCATAGTGTACTGACGATTCCTTGGATAAGCTCTGTATCATACCTACAAGAAGAACAAACAACGTAAATACAAAATCATCACAACCTAAAATAAAGTGCATGGTAACGTTGAAACTCAATTGTAAAAAATTGTTCTTCAGCTATAAATGTCAGTCGGTGCCTCATGCTTACCTACAATCCTTTGAATTCCACCCAGCGAGATTAGCCACCCTTTCTAACGACTTTCTCCACTCATTTACCTCCTCCATGTGTTCTCGATAATTTACTTCATGTTCCGCAAAGGCTTCGCCAAAACTCCCTCGTTGATGGCGTACATCAGAAGGTTCCACGCCATAAAAAATGGGAAAAATTCTCTTTTTCTCTTCCATGCAACGAACAATATGAGTAAGTTCTCGCAAACACCAACTTGAAGAAGCAAAGTTTGTCGAAAGAACTATGATTGCAGACCTTGATTGGTCAATTGCCTTCAGGAGCTCTGGATTGATATCTGTCCCTCGTTCAAGTTCTGGTTCGTCCCTGAAAGTCTTGATTCCTCGCGCCTCCAACTGTTTGTATAAATGATCTGTAAAACCCCGGCGGGTGTCTTCACCTCTGAAACTCAGAAACACATGGTATTTCCATGGAAAAACTGCAGGAGCAGAAGCCCGGGCCATTTGGCTGCTCAACGCAAATCTGAAGTGTTCCAAGCAATCAGCTCTAAGCACAGAAGTGACACTTCGACACGCCGACGATACGCCCCTGACACGGGTTGGACAAGGTCAAGACACCTGTCAATGGGTTGGATACACCTCCAGCACGGGTTGAATTATTTTGAGGAAGTTTTTGATATCTTGAAATCTTTGGGGCAACTTGGAAATATAAAAACTGAAGCCTAAAACTTCAGTCTCTAATCTATTCTGCGCCTCCCTCCTCTTCTCCCACACTTTCGAAGCGGTGGATGATCTCAAATGGTTGGCTGGTGGAGCGAGGAAGGAAAGGAAGAGAGAGGTCGAGGTGAGAGCAGCAGAGAGAAAGCAATGTGAAGGATAGAGAACAAAGAGGATCTGATGGAGATAGGGGGAGAGGCGAGAGTGGTGATGGAGTTGGGTGGGAAGGGTATCATATATAATAAAAAAAAAAAAAAGTAGAAGAGAAGACAGACGAAAGTACTTGGGAGTGTCATTTTTCAAAGCGATGGAGTTGGTGGGAAAGCTGTCATATATAATTTCCAAGAAAGACTTGAGGATGTTTCGTTCTGGCATTCTTTGATTTGTTTAATTGAATGACTGATGACACGGTAAGTTTGTTTAATTTTGTGTTAGTCTCCTTTACTATTGACAACTTCTTTTTCGTTTTTCTTTAAATATACCAAACTAATCAAGGTAGAGGGAGGCTAGCTTCATGTAAGAGACAAGGAAATTCAAATTGGTTTAAGGTGATTTAGGTGAGAAACTGAAATAAGAGAGAAAGATATTTTTGTTGACGTTTGTTAGTCAGATTGGACTTGATTCAACGCATCAAAGCACATACTTGCCAATTCTTTTTTCTTCTTTAATTTATGAGCTCCTCACCACTCTTCTTCTTTCTTTTATGTCAAAGTTGCAGATCTCACTGTTTATCACCTTCGTCTAGCACACACCCATTCCTCCTTTGAATGTAAAGCTCAAGTCTCTTCCAGCCTCTCTCCGCCACAGACATCACACCCCATCCACCAACATTTATTTATTATTTTAAATTATGTTTTGTTTTGTTTCAAAATTTTTGTAATTAGTTAAATACGAGTTTAAAAGTCTTCTTTTAAAAAAAATAAGTATATTATTAACATTTTTATTAAATGGTTGGTGAAG